GTTATATATTAAAATTACAAATGGAGAGAGAGAGAATGTGTTTGAATATCAATCAATAAACAATATTTTATGTTGTAATTATTAATTCTTATAGCTTGGCAGGAATATTAAAAAAACAGCTTTATGGACATAAATAAAATAACATAAACAATGCTGAACCACCCCCCCAGGCCCAGAGAAAATCAATTACAAAATTGAAAATAGTAAATTTGTTTTCTAGTTATAAACTGAACTGATTTTTATTTTTATTACAATGTTGTCTGACAAATATTAAATATTTATACAACTGTTTAATCATATCATAATTTTTCATCAAACAGCACTTTTGTTTCAATTTGAACATTTTTGATTGATAAATATTTAAATTCATCCTCAAACAAATTGTTTGTGTAAAAAATAAAACCAAACAATCATTAAACATCTATTGCCTACAGAACTTAAAGTATAAGTTTAAGTAATTTAAGTTTTATTTTAAGAATCTATAGTACCACAGCTCAAGAGAATTTAAAGGACACGTGTAAAATTTCAGCCCTATTTGTTTTAGTGGTTTTTACTTTAATCAGAAAAAAAACCCAGTTACACAAAACTTCATATCCAAGTAAAAAAAACAAAAAAAAAACAGCCATGCAATAAATATATAACAAGGTTTTGAATTAGCAATCTAACTTTATTGTTGAACTCTGTTGAATTAGATGAATAGCATACATCTAATTAGCTTAAACATATCAATCAAGCCCAGTGTACAAACAAGGCCAAACAAATACACAACATGGACCGGTGAACTCGGAGCAACCTGTGAGCGATTGAGAGGTCTCTGATGGAGAGGGGCTCATTTGTTTGAAAGCCACAATCAATGCTTTGATCGGACAAAACACGGCTGTCAGTTAACCAAATACTCTGTCTACCTACACTACAGGTATGTTGTGATCCACGATCGACCAATCACAGCGATCAATGGAACCGGGTTGATTACTAGTAAATGATACGGAGATGAATACAGCGCGACATAGTTGTTACCACTTTAAGTAGCTCTAGGCTGATGAAAAGTTTAATCAATGATTTTCTTGTTAAGTTAAACGGTTTAATTTTTTTTAAATTATTTATTGAATTTTTTTTAGTTTGGTAAAGGTACTAGTACATGTTACCAGTTTTTCTGATATAAAAAAAGAATCGTGAAAGTAAGAAAAATATTATGATGAAAAGATTTAAGAAATAAGAATAAATTAAATCACGTTTTAAATAAAGTGGTAAAAAAAATACAGTGTTAAAAATTAGTTTACCAGAGTTTCCTGCAACTAGGATATTGGTACACAGCAGAACACGAGTGTGAAGCAAATAGTAAACACAATATTGAAGGCACCTGATTAGTCTGATAGTACGCTACGCTCGCTGATTGTAGCGTTCTATTTATTAATTACTGAAGAGTTTAAAAATAAGTATAAAGATGAATGGCGTAGTGTATGGGTGCATAAAAATATAACACAAATATTTTCTACATCTTAGAATTTAAAAAGTTTGCAGTAAATTTATATAAAAGAGAACTTATTAAAAAATTTTGACCAAAAACTGCAATATAGTTAACATGAAAACTAGATAAATACATACAATTTTAGGGTTACAGATTATAGATCTATTAAAAAAATACACATAAAATGTAAGAATGTGTCATGTTAAGAATAAAACAAAGTTAATCCCAAAATTTAAAATGAACATGATAACAAAAAATATTATAATAGTTATGAATATTATTACAATTATTTTAAAATTTGTTTCTATAACAAAAAACAGCTTATTTTTGGTTATTTTTTTTGTAACAAAAAATATACATTCTCGATGATGAGTTGGACTAACACACCAATTAATTATCATTAAAGGAAACTATCAACCAATAGAGGAATTACCAAAATTCTAAAAGGTTTCTTGGATTGAAATTTTCTTAAACAGCATTTAATCTGAGACAAAGCATAGCAGAACACTTTTTGCAGTAAGCAAAAACATATGTATAACGGTGTTTGTAGACTTTTTCAATCAAGTCACATTCTTTACTAATTTAATAGTTAGGGCCTATGTTTTTCTAAAGAAATTTCGACAAGTTGAAACCAGCATGCCTCAAGGGAGACGGGTTCTAACAAGACTTGATAAACTCCTTGCTACTCCCCGTTAACCCGACCTTAATACACTTTTACTTGGAAACTCCAAACAAGCTCTTGATCCATCTTCCAGTTCGATAAATTCCCGATACATCGCCTCTGAGTCGCTGATTTGTTGTGATATCTAACACAGCGTACCCTAGCATCAACCTAACTCAAAATATATATTGAGAGTTCGGAAAACCTATTGCAATTTTAATTTTATTAAATTATACATATTATACTTTCAATACAAAAGAAAAAAGAAGATTTTTTTGTCTACTTTATTGATTAGATATCAATGAAGTAAATTAAATCTTCAATATTGTTATTGTTATAAAGTTGTGATAGTGGAAAGGATTTTGATTGTAATAACTCATCACTAAAGAGGCTACCGGCAAGCATGTTCCAAAAATCATACTTAGAGAGTGCTGTACTTGTAATGTTTTCAATATTTTGTATTTTTTTCAATTTTATCCATAGTCCAAGGATTATCGACTCATTAAACAGACTTTTACTAAGTTTGAATTAATTCTCTTCCTCTAAAAAAAATGAAAAGTATCATGTACAGTAAAAAAGGCTTCGACTTAGATTTAGAAACAAACTTCTTAAATGTTTTAGTTAGTAAATAAAATAAATGTATTTTTACTGCGAGTAAATTAAATTCATATAATTTTGTTCGCGGATTGAGAGGAATACTAAAATATCAATTTTGACTGAGCTGGCATTGTCATTCAGGTAAACAATAAACATTGAACTAGGCTTATACTTAATCACACGAGGTAAAGACAATGCAAGACATTATTACAATAAAATAATTCTGTTCTTAATAAAATGTTCTTTTGATCGAAAAAAAAAGAAAAATGCCTATGGGAGTGTAACACAAACCTGAATAAAGTGTTCACCTGATTCTCAAATTGAAAAAAATATGGTCCATCTCAAACATAACCTTAATAGACAGCCCAGGTAATTAAGTCCTTCCTGGTTTTTATTTTCCAGAGGTTACATCGCAACTTGGCAAAAACACGGTGCTCCGGTGTCAAGCACAGGGTGGCAATTTCTCTCAAGGGTTGCACTCGCGCAAAAACCAAACTCAACGTCCAGGTATTTTATCATCATCGGTATCGTTGGCCATGAGCCCACGCTGTCATTTGCACTTTGAAATATTATTGTTAATATCTCCGTGAATAAACGCTCCAAGAGATTTATTCACCTTCGGTTCTTATGGTTTAACAGTAAATAAATCGTCCGAGTGTCGTTTGCAAACACAGTTACTAAGTGGAAATTTTTAATGGTTAAAGGTGCTTGGCAGGTTGTACTGCGTTCCCATGCATCCTGGAATGGTGTGATGGAAATCATGAATAAGCTATGTGCTAAAATTATATTTTTATTCGCTGATTTTGATTATGTTTAATAATGCTTGGGCTACATTTTGGTTCAAAGAATATGCACAGCAAAGTTCATGACTACAATCAAGCTTGATTATAGCAGTATCGTGGAACCTTTTTTTAATCTTTGGCAAACGAAACTGAATGGTTCATTCAATTTTTCAACATGAAGGCAAAGTTTAAGAACTTTTGAAAATATAGTGTTCGCATGATAAATATCGGTTTAGTTATGTTAAGTACGAGTCTTTGTATAATCTAGTTGGAATGACGGTGTAGCCAGATTAAAGAAATCAAGATAATTACAGATAATGTTATAAAACAACATCAATGTGAAACAACTTAATCTAATTAGTGTCAACGAGATGCACTGTAGTTTAATTACAATGATTGGTTTCCAAAACCAGCACATTTATAATTGACAGAAACCGCATCATCAGACTCTAGTACCCAAACAATTCAAATAAACGCATACAATGGATTTAACTAGCAAAATTTAGAGCACTTTACCTGACCGTTGAACTAAAACTTCAGTTACTGTACATTTTCTATTTTCTATAATCATAAAAAAATCCCAAGGGGTAAGAAATAGTTATTTGTGCAACTAGTGAGCAAAGGGAGCAATTGACTCACTCGAGAGAAATACTCTCTCACGAGCCTTAGGCAAGTGAGGAATGGTTTCTCGAGTCAGGCAATTGCACTTTGCACTCGAGTTGCACATTATATTTTTCCTACAGTTACCATAAAACAAATAAATTGGTAAAGAAACGTGACATATTTTTACACAGAAGTGAATTTTTAATATTACATTTAATGATACAACCACAACAGCTGACCAGCTGATTTACAGCCAGTGCTGCCAACGTATTTCGCGTGCATACGACCTTGTCTGCATGTTACACGCTCACTATTTCGTGCCTTCAAGTTGCAAATCTGGAGTGAGTGAGACAAAGTTAGAGTGAGACAATGTTAACATTGTCTCACTGATGAGCGAATTGGCCACTTTGCTTTCTCAAATCAGTGATAGAACATGTACATTGTTAGGTAACTGTCCGACAAATTTATTATTCTCTGATAGAGGGTTTTCCTTGTTCTAAGATAAATTATGTAAAACCATTACTCGTATTACAATAATACTATATGGATAGGAATAGATTGTTGGATAAAAACTTTTTTATATGTTTTTGTGAACCTCAGCAAATCATAATTTATGATACCTAAAAAAAAAAATTAAAACTCCGAAATTCCCTATACCTGTAGTAATAATTAATTTATTCAACCATCGCTTTGGATCGTTTTTATATAGGATACGCTATACTATTCATTATAGTTATTCACATTATCAGTGATAATATAATTTGACGGTTAAATTGTGATCACACACTTAAGGAAGTAATAGATGAAAGCTGAAATTTCTTAAACATGATCCACCGTCAACTGGATACAGTTACAAATCATACAACATGCAGTCAAATAGAGGACTCACCTATTTGATACATCTTCGACACTGACTGCTCTGGGAGTGGGGGGCTGCAGTTGTGTGGTCGAGGCGTGGATAGAGTTTTGGACAGCTGGAAAACAAAATCAAGAGGTTATAAAACTGGAAGTAAATTACCGACTACAATTAAGTACAGAAGCAAAAGAGAGGGGTGGTTTTGTACCACAACTGTCTTCAATAATGATGAGAACTGTGTTGCGCTTTGAGTCGCACGAGTAAAAAAAAATATCTGTTCTAATCAGTTTTTTGTTATAGGATACAAATCTAAACATTAGTAATTGCTGGTCGAAAAGTTAATACTGTACTTCTAAAATGAATTTAATTTGTGCTACTATTCTATTTGTGTATTTTTCTCAATGCACTATCAATAAATAGTTTTTACTGAGTAATTGCTTGTGATATAACAGATTCGCTTTCTTAAACAGTTTTAGCTTGTGCAATTTCACACTCACTCGGCTAGAGTAATGAAGGAATCCTACCTTTATTATACAAAAGAATTACAAAAGATGCACTCACAAGGCTGAGGACTGACTGAGAGGGGTGGGGGAGGCAGGTAGACTTGGTCCAGTTTGCCCACCACCAGTACCACTCTCTCATGTGTAGCCTTCAGTGTGGCAACTGCCTCCTCATGTGTCACATTCTCTAGGTTCTTGTCACCATGCTGAAACATCAAACAGAGGTTAATTCAGTGTATTTGCTGCATCTATGAGTATACCGTCCTATGAGTCCATGGATACCGTCCACTTTGTCTTAGGGTATCGTCCCTACGCACACTTCTAAAATCCAAATTCACCATGCAACACAGGTTAGTAGTCGAGCACCATAGACATAGATATAGAGATTTTTTTACATAATCAATCACCCAGCAATTTTGTTAAGTGAGTGCTTGAAATAATTTGAGCACCCTAGAAGGTAATTACAAATTTAAAGAAATAACAAGACACAATTACATGAGTACAGTATTATACCCGGAATCGATACCTTCATCAATCGTCCATTCTACACAGACAATACTCTGTTATAAAAACTAACACAAAACTAAAGTTTAAAAGAGGATTAAAACACAACAAGACACATTTACTGTTTCGTAAAACATTCTGAGCAAGTAAACCCTGGCAGAAAAAGTGGAATTCATCTTCTCGGCACTTAATCTAAACGAGAGCGTAAAAATTTTGTTCAGGAGGAACTTCTTGATTGGCCTATCAAACACAGGCTGTTTAGACTTAGCTTACAGAATGTCACTTAATTTAAAAATTCTTTTCCATTAATTTATTATTCCCTAGTATATATTTATCGTGTCTCTAGCCTGATCCTCTTTTATTTATTTTACATCCAATACAATTATAACATTTTTGGTCCCGATTCATATCGCTTGGTGACACCTGAAAATGGTACTTTGTTCTCAAAGTCTAGACACATGATCTGAACAATAAACAATACATTTTCTGACTCTAGCAAATCAAAAGTACGAGTCAAGCTTATTTTACAAACTACAGGTATTTAGCCAAACTATATTCATTTAAAACAACCATAAAATAGTATTGTAACTAGGCGTAGCCTACCAAAACAAATTCTACCAACCCAAGACCTAATACATTAACGTCCGCACTGGTGAGTACTACGACTATCCGCAGACCAATAACTGCGCGACTGATAATTAGACCAATTCGTAATTACCAAGGCAAAAATGTGGTTCGGATTCCACTATAAACTGTAGGTCCCTTAGTTGCCATTAGCTGTATGGGCTATTAATTAACAGCTGTGTCTAAGGAATGTCGGCCTTAGTCACTAACAAGACTACAAGATCGCGCCACTCATCCTACACTCATCTCCAATCATACTTGGCTTAAAATACCTACTTTGTATGGTCGCCATTTCATAGAACAGTATTAACAGTACAACATTACATAATGTACTGGTACAAATTATCCATCTTGCTGATTGTATAAAAACCAGCAGATCTAACCTGTCCCAGACCTTACATGACCTAGCTGAACTTGACATAATCTGACGTAACCTAATATAGCCTAGAACCAAATACAAACAAAACATTAAAATATAACCTACTACGACCAATCACAAACCTAATTTAACCTAACTGGAGGTAAATTAATGAGAGAACGATACAAACATAATACAAGGAAAGTACCAAAACTTAGCCTGACGTCATGAGATGATGAGTTTCAGGGACTGATGTAATGAATGCACGCAGACTGCGAGTTTAGACAGCCAAGTGCTCAGCTCTACAAAGTTTACACATATAATCAGCCACTTCCCCCTGGCTTCCACTGAGGATTTCCGTAAATTAACCTTATTTACAGCATCAACTTTACCAAGTTATGTTATACAACGTTGCTCCTCAAAACATGACTTACCTCTACGAGTGAAAGAAACAAAGGATCTTTTATAGTTACACTCTCAGAAGGTTTTGTATATATTTTTCAGTTGGTTAAAAATATTGATCTTCAATTAGGATTTCATTAAAAAACGTTTTTGACAACAGTGAGTATTTTTAAGCAACAATTTAATCTTGGACTTCTTATTGGAATTTTGTATCAATATTAAAATCATAAACTCGAATGTTGTGGTTTATGTTCAGTGTATATAATCGTGATATACTAAGGCAAGATACAATCAGCCTTATTTATATCTAATAAAAAACATGGTCCAATGTAGGCTACATGAACGTTCAAATAATAAACAAGTGTGTTTGAATAAGAATACTGTATTGACATGAAATAATCAAATGTACAAATCATTTTTCATCACACTACGATGATTTTAGCCGTTTTACATACGTTTATTGGAGGCCGAAAGCTACATATTGCTGTCCATGCCAGCTGTCATCGTTAATTGGGGACCGAGCAGGTTTTTACTTCCCTAGGGCCGAAAACTAGCTGGTTGCTTATTTACTTGAAAAATTAATGTATATTAAATACACTGTCAGTATTCATGTACATTGCAATAGACTTGTTTTATTGTCACCGCTGCTTAGGCAACTATTTATTATTTTTTTTCCTTATTCCTCAAAATATTTCACAAAACCACAAAGTTCTAGTAGGGTTGGCTGTTAGTGTGAATTATTATTGTGGTGAATAGTGGTAATACGGTATAGTGTGGTGAAACAGTATATTTTGTACCTAGGGCCGAAAATTATGTTTTGTTTTGCAGCTCTCTATAATTTCAAAAAATTTGTTTTAAAAACCGATCTCGAGCTGGCAAAACCTCATTTTCCTAGGTACGTGTACTGTCTTAAAACAGATATATTAATTTAAATAGTTTTCAGCTGACTTAATTGTTTGTTTGTTTTTGTTTTTTGTGTTGTTCATGATTTTGAAATGGAAGTAAAAACTATGTAACATAATGTTAGTTTCATTTTATATTTAAAACTGTTCAATGGCGACGAGGATGAGGAGGAGGAAGGGTGAGAGACACCAGGAGCTAGTAGAAGAAGGTATATTAACACCCAGTCAACCTATTTTCTGTTCTAATTTTGATAAATTTGATGAAGACAATGAGACATGGAGTTCATACATGGTAAGGCTAGACAACTTTTTTGACCTAAACGGAATCACGTCAGAATTAAAGAAGAAGCAATATTTGATCAATTTATTGACACCTAAAGTATTTCACGACCTGAGAATTAATCTAAGCCCATGTGACATTGAGGATAAAAGTTATGACGAAATATGTGAAGCTTTACAATTATTACTGGAACCTAAGGGAAGTATTATTGCAGAACAACATAAGTTCACTAAACGAATCCAGAATCCGAGTGAATCTGTAGGCAGCTTCGCCAAAGATCTGAAAACCTTAGCCAGTAAATGTGATTTTAAATGTCCAAAATGTAATGCATCAACATCTGACGTTCATCTGCGGCAACAGTTTATTTCGGGCATTCATGATGGAAAATTGCTGTCTAGATTAATTGAAATTCACGAAGATAAAACGTTTAACCAATGTCTTGAAATAGCAAGTAACTTTGAGCAAATCAAAAGTGAAACAACGAAAATCCAAGAATCAAATTTGCAATCAAAAGTTGGAGAACAATTTCAGATTCGAGGGAAGAAAAGCGCTGGATATTTGCAAGGAAAGGGTAGTAAAATATCATGTTTCAGGTGTGGGGGACACCATCACATAAGTGCGTGCGAAATTCCAGCAGACATTAAATGTTGGAATTGTGAGAGGAAAGGACATCTCAGCAAAGTTTGTCGGAGAAAGAAACAAAACATGCGACAAGCTGATGACGCTTCGACAGGAAATGAGTATGAAGAGGAAGGTGAGTGTCAAAATCCACCTTTTATGTCAATGTTATCCATTGTGGATAGAAAGAAGAAATGTACTAAATTGTCTAAGCTCTCGGATGATGCATATCAACCTGAAATGGTAAACAGGCCGGGAAAGATTATGTTAGACTGCACCATTGACGATAAGCGTAACTCTTTTGAGTTAGATACTGGTGCTGCGGTCAGTACTATACCGCTGCATCTGTTTAAGAAATTATTTCCAGGTAAGATTCTAAATAGAACAAGAATGCCGTTAAGAACCTATACAGGAGAAATAATTCGCCCGGTAGGGTTTGCAACTGTCGAAATTTGCTATGAAAATCAAATATCTGTGGGCAACCTGTATGTTATTCGGGGGAACGTAGACAGTATTTTTGGAAGGGAGTGGTTAAAGTTGTTCAAAATTGAGCTTCCTTCATTAAACCAGGTATCAGAAGATCAAACAGATCATAAAAAAGACCAGTTTATAGAGAATCTTAAGAGCGAATTTCCTAATGTTTTCTTACCAGGAGTGGGTAAAGTACCGAACTATGAAGCTCATTTGAGTTTGAAACCAAACTCTAAGCCGGTTTACCTGCCACCCCGCCCTGTTCCTTTTGCTTTAAGGGATAAAGTCAATGATGAAATTGACAGGTTAGAAAAGGAGGGAATTCTCTCAAAGTTGACCTACAGTCAATGGGGTACACCTATAGTACCGATAGTTAAACCAAACGGGGATATTCGGCTTTGTGCTGATTACAAAGTATCAGTTAATAAGACCTTGGAACCTGATCATTATCCAATTCCAACATTGGATGACATATTTGCGAGCATGAGTGGCTGTAAGTATTTTTCGACTATTGATATTTCTCAAGCGTATTTAAACATTCCCATGGACAACGAGAGTGCCAGAGTACAGGCCATTAGCACATATAAGGGTGTATATGCTGTCAATAGACTCATGTTCGGAATCAAAAATGCTCCAGCTGAGTGGCAAAGATTCATATCTCAAGCTCTAGACAACATTCCAGGTGTTACGGTGTTTTACGATGACATTAGAGTAGTGAGTAAAACGTTAGAGAAGCACAAAGATCGGCTAAAAGAAGTTTTCAGAAGGTTATCCAATAATAACTTGCGAGTCAATAGTAAGAAATGTAGTTTATTTAAAGCTAAGATTGTGTATTTAGGACATGAAATATCAGAAAAGGGTATTCACAAATGTAAAGACAAAGTGGAGGCGGTAGTAAATGCTCCCCGACCGACCAATAAAGATGAGCTTAAAAGCTGGTTGGGTCTCATTAACTATTATGGAAGGTTTGTCAATCATCTCTCAAGCTTGTTACACCCTTTGTATGAACTGACCAGAGGTGGTAGAAAGTTTACCTGGACCTCAGAATGTGAGAAATCTTGGCTTCAAACAAAAAAGGAAATTGCTTCAGATAGAGTTTTAGTTCCATATGACCCTAAATTACCAATTATTCTGTCAGTTGATGCCAGTCCAGTAGGGCTTGGAGCTACTCTTTCACACGCTCTCCCGGATGGATCGGAAAGACCAATATGTTTCGCTTCTCGCACTCTTACGCTCACGGAACGGTCGTATTCTCAAATTGATAAAGAAGCTACAGCAATCTTTTGGGGTGTAAATAAGTTTTTTCAATATGTGTTTTCCAAAAGGTTTATTTTAAGAACAGATAATAAACCACTTGTTTCTATCTTCAACCCCGCAAAGGAATTACCACGAATGACTGCGCAAAGACTTCTAAGGTATGCCATATTCCTTCAAGGTTTTGACTACGAGGTTCAACATATAACTTCTGAGGAGAATGTCTCGTCTGATGCCCTTTCGAGAGCACCGATAATAGGAAAAGAGGATGAAAATTTCATGGATGACATAAACAGAGCGTGTTTATACCAAATTAGGCAATTCAATGATGTATTGCCTGTGAAGCTGGACGAAATTCAAGAGGAAACTCAGAAGGAAATTGTAATGAAAGATATTTACGATTGCTTACTAAGAGGTAAACCATTGGGTCATAAGGAGTATAAAAAACACTTGGATGAATTGAGTATAGTGGACGGTTGTATAATGAGAGGCGATCGAGTTATTATACCACGCACTCTGAGAAAACGTGTTTTGAATGATCTACATTCGTCTCATACAGGAATTGTTAGGATGAAGGCCCTTGCAAGAAGTTATGTCTGGTGGCCAGACATGGATCTCGATATAGAACAATTTGTGAAACAGTGTACACCCTGCCAAAGAAATCAGAAGAATCCTGCTAAAGCGTGGCATCCATGGGAACCAGAAAATGCACCGTGGAAAAGAATACATGTTGATTTCTTAGGACCTGTATCAAATCAATACGTTTTACTGGTTGTAGATTCATTCTCTAAATGGTTAGAAGCCTGTCCCATGACACAAGCAACATCAAAGAAAACCATTGAGTTTTTGGAAGATATTTTTGCAAGATTCGGCCTACCTTATACATTGGTGAGTGACAATGCTTCAATATTTAAATCAGAAGAGTTTAGTAATTACTTAAAACAGAATGGTATTATTCACAGAACCATTGCACCATATAATCCGCAGAGCAATGGTCAAGCAGAACGCTATGTTCAAGAAGTGAAAAGGTACTTAAGAAAAGAAGTGGACACAAATGGAAACCTAAAAGAAAAACTTCTTAAAGTTCTTTCATCTCACAGACGAACACCGACATCAACAACAACAAAAAGTCCGGCAGAGTTGATGTTTGGAAGAAAACTGCGGAATTCGTTAGATGTGTTGAGACCTTCATTAGAGTCAACGTTGAAACCTACCTTTCGCACAGCCCAACAAGGATGTACATCTTTCAAAGGAACCATAAGAGAATTCAAAGAAGGTGAACATGTTTTGGTAAGAGAAATGGTGAAAAATGGCAAAATTGTTTGGAGAAAAGGCGAAATAAAGAAAAGAATTGGAAGAGTTATGTACTCCGTTGCTGTTGATGACATGCTATGGAGACGGCACATAAATCAACTTCGGAAGATATAGAATCTACAGTATCCTTTGAATTATTTCATGGGGGAAGAGTTTGTACTGTCTTAAAACAGATATATTAATTTAAATAGTTTTCAGCTGACTTAATTGTTTGTTTGTTTTTGTTTTTTGTGTTGTTCATGATTTTGAAATGGAAGTAAAAACTATGTAACATAATGTTAGTTTCATTTTATATTTAAAACTGTTCAGTACGAAATATGCTATTCCCCACTCTTTAACTGACTTTATGATGTTAAACTGTATAAGACAAATAATATATTTTTCTGACAATGTGTATTTATTTATTTTTATTTACATGGTGTTACATCATAAAGTGATTGGAAATTTGTCAACATTGCTGAAATACTGGAGTAACTTTCCAAGCAATTGTACTTTATAATACTACTAATATACGCTCAATTCATTCAATTCAAAATATCAACAAACAATCTTTGAATATTTTTTACAAATTAGTAAATGTGTGGTTTGTAGTTAAATGTTTGTAGTTAGTAAGTGATTTGACTATGAATCTGTTTTATTGCTAACTATTATTAAAAATATGTAAAGAAATTAAAGTAACTATTTATTTATTACAATCTCAGTTTTTTTTAACAATTCAACCCAAACAACTCTATAAAAACCAGAGTTCCAAAACATTTGGATTGTAAAGCCAGCCCAGAGCACATATCGACCGACCAACCATGATCTCTGAACCTGTACAAGTATTTCCGTCGTATTTACTCAACCAGAAGTTGTGACTTCAATAGCGCGACAGGATTGGGCAAATGTTAGTAGAGCCGAGTGTTCCGCTGTTTGCACGACGTCGGGTCGAGCCAAGAGAGATTACCGCCTCGGGACTTGCCATTGTCCTCAGATGAATCATTCCCTCTCCCGCAGTTTTCATTTACCATTCTCCTTTAACTTTTAAGGGAATCGTTAATCTTTCCTTGTGTCGTACTAAGTGGTAACAATATTTTGTTAACAGATACTATTTGAACTATGGATTGAACATGTGTTTCTATTTCAAATGTTGGTGATTTCAGGACATGATTAAATTGAAAAGATTGAAACAAAATAAAATATCTTATTAGAACTAGTACAATAATTTATGTTTTCCAAGTTTGTAGGCAACATGATGTTTATCAAAAATATTTGTTGTAGCAATGAACAAATAAGCAAATTAATCAATGAACTTTGCATATTGGAATGTGAAACAGTAACAATGGTTAAAAATAGGATTAATGGATTAATAGGGTTGATGTAGTTAAGTTAATGCAATGATTTTAAATAAATAGGTGAATGTTGAGGTATGGATGTATATAAACTATCATTTACCAACCCTGATTTTATCGCACCTTAAACTATTTTACCTTTTTTTGTATAAGAAACATGGTGTGATCCTTTACCGAATGGTTTAGAAAGGTTCTACCTTTGTTTTCAATTAAATTCTTAATAGAACTTTAAGAATGAATGTGTCACAAATGAATGAATGATGTTGTCACAATGAATGAGTAAACAGTAACCCAGTATTCACCACCAGCTAACTGAAGGTGCTCTCTAACACATTTAGGCATATTAACCAAAAGTTTGAACAGTTTCCAATAAAAGGAAAAAGATCAATCCAAAATAAAAGTTTTTGTGCATGAATCAGTGTGTTGTCAGCGTCTTTTTTTTACAAGGATAGCTATATTTCAGCACTTGTACATCAATTTTAAGGAGTTAGACTGCTTTCTTAAAATAAATTGCATTCCTGTAATAGGGTTTATGCTTCTAAAAATTGCCACTGGCAAAGACACAGCACAAAGACAAGACCCACCATGGTGTTTCTGACGCCGATGAGCTTGTCGCCGACCGCCAGCCGTCCGTCTATCTGCGCCGCGCCGCCGTCCATGATCTTGGTGACGTAGATGCCGTTGTCCCCAGGGATGTGTTGGTTGCCGATGCCGCCTGCGATGCTGAAGCCCAGGCCCTTGCTGCCCTTCAGCAGCTCTATCTCAAGCACCCGCATGCTGCCAGCCACCACCGCCAGTCTTTTTCTCCTCACATACTGAAAAAAAATTCCAGTTGAAATAGTAAAACAAGACGGCTACCAGTTCCTTGAAATAAAAGTATAACATGACAGTTACTTTGTAAATTTTATATATATTACCTAACATTCTATTTCAAACCTTAGCTTTAGTAAGATAATAATTAAAGTGAAATAAAAATGCAACAGTTTTCTATAATTTGTCTTTTCACATATGTTATAATTTAAACATTGGCATAAAAAATTGATACTTTAGCGTAATCTGTTAGAGGCTCGATTCGTTTTATATTCAAAAACTGGCTACAACTCAAACACAACAACGGATTTGTCTAGTTATATTCATATCCAAAGCTTTTGTTGTAACAAATTATATGCACAGTTTTAAGGAAAATTCCTTGAATTTCAGAGACTATGGTTTGATCACTAAGTGAATTTTGAGAGCTCACATTATAGCAATTCTATTGTAAAACTCCTTATATTACTTTGGAAAATAAATAGTTTGACAAGTATTAACTGATGTCTCTAATTATAATGTTGTTTCTAATGGTGGTGAAAAAAATAAATTGAACTGTTTTAAAATTACATTTGGGGCCCAGATAAAAATTTGTGACTTAGGATGCTTAAAAGAAGGCATTTTTACTGACTATAAAGGCTCCAGTTATAAAAAATGTTAAATAATATACATACAAATTTTGTTTATGTAACATTTTCATATCAAATTGCATATGCTTACAAAATATATAAAAAGGACTTCAACTAGATCTGTTCATAGGCAGAAAAATGTCACCAAGGGGAGTCAAAATACTAATACATTTGACTGAATGGGAAAGTTAAAATACTGAAAATTTTTAGGACGCATACAAAACTTGACATAAATCCACCAAAAATTGAATTTATTCACACAAACCTTATTCACCTTGTTCAATAATCTAATCTCAATTTGTGTTTAATCAAATTCCAAACAAGGCCGGCAAAGCTTTTACCCATGCTGTGATCAACAGAGGTGGTTTGCCAAGGCCCTGCGGTTGAGGCAACACTGGATGTGACAGTAAAGCCATCACGGGCAAATGGAATATACAATCGATACTTGTATTTCATTACAAGTTGTGGATCATTATAACGGTAAGTAAATAAAAGAAACGTCTTATAACACTTAAAACATATATTTACGCTTATACTGTTACTCACAAGACGGTAAATAAATATACAAAAAAGGTGGTAAGTGGTGATCGATTTCGATTGGACACTCCAATCATCATCAGAGCCAATAGGCGAATTATCATTATAACACCAGTTAATTTTGGATACTGAAAGACACATACCATGTATATGAAACAACTATTGCCTATAAAAAAGTCTAATGTAATTTGCAGAGAGTGCAACAGTTTAAAATTAAATTTTCTCTCAAAGTTTTGGTTATCGAGATGGTTGATGAAACATTAAAGAGGTTTTATCTTAAAAAAAATTGTCTAGTCATAAATTTTAACTTGGATAAAAAGTTTACTCAATTAAACTACAGCAAGTCCATTTTGATCTCAAAACTGGTGACAACTTATCAGGGACAGACTATCATAGTATTGAAAACCAAGCGAGTAAATACAATTTTTAGTATGGTAGCTTATTCCATGAGCGGTTTATTCAACTAAAGTCTATTTAAAAGAAACAAAATGTTTTTGTTGGTCTATATAGACTACAGATAGGACAGCTACCTAGGTATCTAGTATGGTTATTAATCTATACTTATTTATCATTAATGATATCATTCTTGTTTGTTGTACAATTTAAAAATAAATTTATTTAATGCACATGCAGTCATGGAGATAATATTAATAATATTGACTGTAAGCCTGTTTTAAAGAGTTTGGTGTAAGCCTACTGCTACGGATACTCTATAGTAGGCTGATCTTCTTTAAAAGCCACAGGGCCAAGGAAGTAATAAAAAATAGAATTGTAACCAAGCAGTTGATTTGTTATTGAGGGATAAGCACCAATTGTGTCTTCGCTAAATATTTTACTATAAAATAATTTTAAGCAATTAAGAAGTACGGTAATTTAAAAATAGAATTGTACTAAGTGAATCCCCAAAACAATTGCTCGAACATTAATTCACCATAAACATGTTTATAGCGCTTTTGAAGTAAACTGATAAACACAGCAAAAACAAAGCAGTGTTGGCAAGTTGAATTTGAAATTTGAATATCTACAAAGCCGACTTTTCCCGAGAGTGATGTAGAGGTAAACACTCGACACTTCAACAGCTGAAGTGATTTGTCCGTTGGGAGAGGAATGTGTTTTGTCAACACTCACCAACAGTCTAATATAGAGGACAAATAGTTGTATCAAATGTTGCTATGTTTACATTCCATCTATATGGATCAAGAGACAAATTATTAAATACTAATGTCGACATTCTCATTTCTTAATTTTGCTGTAATTAACCGACTTCCCCACTACCAACAAAAGGAGGAGGTTCTCAATTTGTTTGTGACGATGTTTTTTTTTTTCTATGTATGTTCACCAATTTCTCTGTGATTCTTTTACCGATCAGTGTGGTTCCACCACCAAAATAACCAGGAGAGTTTCTATTTGGTACCTTATATATTATGTTTAGGTATAATATTTGTTTCGGTGAAAAATTCTGAAAACCTTAAATATTCAACATTTATTTTGTTTACATTTGGCAGATTGTTTACATTTGTGTAGAGAAGGCAATAAATAATAATAACATTCCTACAGCTGTTAGTTGAAACCATTTAAATGAAGCTACAGACAACTCTTCATGAAACAGTTGCTTCATATTGATCAATAAACTATTTCTTGCCATGGAGCCTGAATTACATTGAGAAAATGCATTTTGTTTTGGTTACTATAAAAAATGTATTTTAAAGTTTGACCTGATTTGTGTATACAGTAATTCTGTTTTTATTAGTATTGAATATTCTGACTTACAAAAACATATATGTTTCAGTGAATAGCTGTATGATATTGACAAATAAAGGTGTATTGTGAAAACCAAATCATTCGTAAAACAGGTCTAAATATAAATTAAATAATGTAATTATTCCTTACACTTAATTACTATTGCATATATTATTTAGTAAGCCTGTCTGTAGGCCTATTATTCATAATTTATCTTATAAGTACCTATTTTTTGTGCATGTAAACCTTAATTGATGTGGCTTGATTGCATGTATCTCTCTGATTACCTACCTTGTTTACTATATTGACATGATCTATTGCATTTTATGTATAATGTTTAATGATCAAATAAATCTATCTATCTATCTATCTATCACGATCTAAGAAGTGTGACAGTGCATAATCGTCAATTGTCTTAAAAGTGTTAAATATTTTAATTACTAAACATGCATTTGCAGATGTGGAATGTTTATTAATATTCTCTACCCAGTTACTATAACATATCAATACTATTATGCCTGCTTCGGAAAGTCCTAGAGGAAGATGATTTGCAATTTCGACTTTATAGGCTATATCTTGAGCAAACAAAACCCCCTACATGGCTTGCACCACTTTTAGCTGAACCAATCTTTCTTATAATATTTTCCAAAGGGTACTATATATGTTAACGACCAATTTTCCACTTTTGAGAGATTTTTTAGTGCTGGTGGCGGAGGAATAACTTTCATATTGTTCCAAAAGGCTTTAGACGTTACTGTATTTCTTTTTATAATGTAGAAGTACACCGATTGCAGGAAACGATGATGTCTGACATTTCAATGTATCTAGAAAAGACCATTAGTTTTTCATTAGGTCTAATGTAATGGACAACTCTTTCTTTCTTACGGAATATCTAAAAATGTTTATTTTCATACCCATTGATTATATAACCTGAACAGGTGACTCAAGCAGTTTTAAAATAATGATTGTTCTGTGGAACTTTTGATTGTTTCAAACAGTTTTGCTTATCAAAAAACCTCAAGTAATTAATACATAAAAAATTATACAGTCACTAAAAATCATGAAATAATTTATTTTTGTAAAAAAATACAACCGACTTCAAACGCTCTAAAAAGAATGAAATAATTTCAATAAAGTAAACTTTTGTATTAGTCAAGCTCAGGTATTTCAAGTCGGCGCGGCTCAAACTGCAAATATGATTGAAATGAAATATTGTGCGTGTATTTTGAAAATCAATAAATTGTAGCTGGGAAGCTGGATAACATAAATATATAAAAAACATACTGAACTGTTTTGCTTATAATAAAGGAAATATTTTCTTGTATTTTATGTTTACTTCGGAATAAATGCATTATGAAAATAACACACACAAATGTTTTATATGAATAGGAAAATAATTTAGTTTGATATTATGATAGGGAAAAGAAGCTAGTTTAGTATTAAAATGTTACTTTTCCAAGTTAGAAACATTTAAATGCGTTATAATCTTTTTAAAGATACTCGTTAATACCACTATAATGCCGATCTCTGACTACGGTAATAAAATAACACTTAATGCATAACTATGAAAAAGACATGCAGATTAACACCTTTAGTTATAGATAGTCACCTGCAATATGGACCCCCTCTTTCAATTTTGTATCAAAAATCATCATAAAGCCGCGCCGACTTAAAATACATGAGCTTGACTAATACAAAAGTTTACTTTATTGAAATTATTTCATTCTTTTTAGAGCGTTTGAAGTCGGTTGTATTTTTTTACAAAAATAAATTATTTAATGATTGGTGTATACAAGTGAACACCGACTGATGTCTGAAGCCTAGTGTTAAGCAATTGTAGGAGACCTGTGGAAGTTTTTTTTTATTTGATTTTGCAAGAATATACTGAGGAGGTAATATAGATTGCGGATATTTTCCACCACGATTAGTAAAAAAGTTGTCCAACGTTTAATCACGTTGTTTAGTATTGATCTTTAAATACTTTTTCACCTGAAGATGAGGTTAGATTCCAGAGCCGGAAAGGTCGTAAAGGCTTCGTTTTTACTAATCATAATGGAAAATGTATGCAGTATTCTCTTTAATAATTTCTTTTAAATTGTATAAAACTTTATTCATGTTGAATTCCCCATCCTCTGGTGAAACCTCAAATGAAACGTGTTAAACAATCTCAGTACAAACTGTAAAAACACAAAACCAACCTTTATGAAACACCACGTCTACGTTTATTCCCCATGTTCCCTTGTTTAATAATGTTTGAATAACCGCAGTTGGGTTCCAACTAGTTTACAGCTACATAAACACGCATTTTTAAAATAGTCTAAGAATAAAACTAATAATCTAGTTTTTTGGTCAATCATTCTCTCGAGTTTTTGAAAATTGCTGGTTTCTCGTGAAATTGAAATTGTGATAATTAATTAACATTTTGATTAATAACGCTGATCCGCAGAGGCCAGACTCACCAAAGTAACAGTGTTGCCGGCACGTTTGAGCGCGTCGACGGCTGAGGCGTGTGGTACATCCACCACCGACACCTGGTTGACTTGTAAGATGACATCGTTAACTCTGAGACGACCGTCGGCTGCGGCCGCCCCGCCGGGGATCAGCTTGGTGATGTAGATGGCGGTGTCGTCGCCGATGTGGGGGTTGTCGGTGCCGCCGGCAATGCTGAACCCCAGCCCTGCGCCTCCTCTCTCCAACGTGATCTCCTCGTACTCCCACTCAGCCTCTCCATTCACCTGCTGCAACAAGTGCTACAGTTAGTTGGCTGTAGAACAGTAATACAACTAATTCAACCATTCTACGCTTCCACCATCAAAGCAGACATTGGTATAACCGAGTTGGTAAACTATGAAAAGCTGACACTTTAAGTGCGTTGCAGCAATCCATCTTGTGGAAAAACAGATGCTGTGGTTATTTTACTGTAGGACTAGGAGTTAAAATTACTTCATATCGCTACTATGTAATTGCTTCTTATATCTTGTAGGATTCTGCAATTCAAGTCGGCAATCAAATTTAGGCCGTTGTGAGATAATCGAAATAAAACTGGTAAAAATATTGTTGACGTTTCTTGGGATAAACAGCTTCTGCGGTTAGTTGGCTGAAGTTATATGCCTAAACCAAAAGTTCATTAAATTGAAATCACCATTTTATTCGCTTCTTTTACTAGGGAAGACTTCTACAATCAAAGTAGATGGTGAAATCTTTGTCTTTGGTAGATGACTTTGTTGTTAAACTGTATGAAAATACCACATGACGTTTTTGATGCATTGCAGCATTCTATCTTTGATCAACGTTTAATCTGATCTTTCATTTATTTAATAACAATTCCTTCTTTCCAGTGGCTGATCATTGCTTCAGAAATGGAAACAGTGTTAGCTAATTAATACCTTAAAACCCGAACATAAAATCACTAATAGTGGAAAGATGCATATCTATTTTGATTTATTCACTGAACAAACTGTTGTAAAATAATGATGTAGAATTTTGTCAAATGACACAGGGTAACGTAGTGTAAATCCAAATAGAAGGTACCTTAATGTGACCAAAGTTAAGGTTTAGATAATAACCAAAGAAAATTGAACAGAATCAATCAATTAACACGATTAGTACAAAAACTAGTTTGCCATATACATATGTTTTGCGTAGCTAACCAGTTCTATTCAGATATTAAGGCGAGTAATCAAGTCGGGCCCTAAATTACTATAGGGTTGATCAGATGCAGATTGCTGAATGGCCAATTTGCGAACCAAAGCTTAACTGGTTAACCAGTCACTTCGGGCGAGTACCTTCCAATATCGTCTGATCTGGATTAGCATGGTCTAACATGAGTATACACCCAGAAGTAGTCATACCTATCGACGGAGGGGGTACATTTAAACATAAGTTAGCCTACCCTTTAATGTATTTAAATAATTTTCCCCATATTACAAAAATACTACCAGTTTTTACTTAATATTTATTAGCAAAGTCAGTTGAGCGGAGCGATAAGGTTTCATAGTTTTTATTAAAGCAATAAATAAAAGCGACGTTTATAGACATAATTAAACTATTTCATCAATTTTGCCTATCAGTTTGTCTCAGAATTATCAATGGGTATCTATAACAAGTTTCATAAATAAGGATACGATTAAATATTTAAAGACTTGCCCGATTTCAGAGAATTGTACAAATAGCTGTCACTATATACCATTTTATGGTTTGTTCTCTTAAATTTTTCCCTTTCAAAATAATTATGTAACACGTTGTTTTAAATAAAGTGTTCTACAATATTCAACTATCTCAAAACATTGCCAGAAGTTGTTGTTTGTGTGTTTGTGTGTTTCAGGCTTTTATTGCTCATCTTCATTTTCTACAAATTTAATATCAGGCAGTTTTTGAGAGTGCATTCCGAAGTTTTCCTTAAAATAACACTCGTATGCGAATTAGGTAATCTCTTGTAAAACGAAAACACAAAAAAAAATACTTAATCCTTATTTACTTGGGCAATCATATACCCAAAGTTGTTGCCAACACAACAATCAATACAACAAGTGTGTTGCCAACACGATGATCTCATCTAAATATTTCAAATTTTAAAATAGGTTGGGAAGAATAGAATGCGTTGTTTAAACTCAGTGGTAAACCGTGTGTTTTGTTTATACAGTAATAGCCAAAATAAGCATTAACATTCTTGTTGTTACATAAACTGAAATCTAACAATTTAATAATTTAGTTATATCAGCTTACGGTTCCACATGAAACAACAAACATTAAATAGGGTTTAAATTTCACAATATAATAAGAAAGCATGTTCATAATAGCCTATTTAGATAAAAATATTGATTTAGATGATTATTTGTTTTGCCGTTAACTGTAACCATCGTGGTGGCAGCCCATAAGGCTTATGTTAAAATTTAAAAACTTTGAGTTACTTTTAAATTGCATCGAAGTTAATCTTAAAGAGCTTCGCTTCGCTCCGCTCAACAAGACATTGAGATGAAACCTAGACTGATGATTATTATTATTTTAAATAATTTATTTCAACTAATATCCAAGTAATATTACTTTTTATGTTAATTTTACTCTTGATGATTACATCTAAATTTTTAAACAGTCAATTACCAGAGTAACTTGAAAATGGGACCAGAACAGCAGTTTTAAACTAAAACTGATGGATACAGAGGGAGGTTTATTACATTGCACTCGATGTAGATTCTGTTGAACATCTAGGCTTTTGAGTTTTAAGCTATACAATTCAGTTTCATGCCTACAAAGGAAATAATGTTACAATTCAACTAAGTCCAGAGTTGTATAACTTTCAACAATAGATTGTTTCAGTTTCATTCAGAGAAAATCATAACTAAGCAGAAACTGGGCTAACACAAATGGCTGTGATTCTATTAGTAATGAAAAATGACAAAAATAGTTTGATGTTATCTAATATGAATTTTATAGAAGTACTGTAAACTGTTTAGTACAACAATCATTTGTAAAATGTTGAAATCTTTGCACTAAGTTTGGTTCTATCAAATTATACAATGCAACTACAATACTAAGCAAATAATCATGACAGTACAATTTTGTTATAAATTACATTTGTACAAGTAGGCCTAAATTAAAAGTGATTACAATTTTTCTATAAACACAATTAATTGCAAAGTACTTTTGAAAGGAATCACATTCTTAAAACTTTAAAGCACAGTCAATTAGATGTTTTTAGAAATAAGTCAGTACAAATAATTTGTTTACTAAGGTGGTTTGAGTTAAACACTTATCCAAAACAGGGCATTTGGCAACAACATTTTTACCGTATCTATAAACAAAGTACAAATTGTCCACATTCAAACTAAATTATACATACAAGATTGGTGGGGAATTGACTTTGCACTTTCTACGGTCTTTTAATTTTATGTAGATAGGCCTGGTGAATTTTTGAGAAAATGTTAGACAAACAATAATAGAACAAGACAAAAGCCAAAATATAAAAGTTGAAAATTAACACACCATAAAAAAATTGAACAAATCAAGATTACAATTTCAAAAATATAAAACCTTTCACTTTGCAACCTGAGGTGAAATGATTTCTTACAAACACTCCACCAAGTGGGACAGGAAAAATTTAATTTGGCTTTTGCGACAGTGGCCAACCCTAAGCTGGATTAGAAGTAATCAGCCCAAAGCATTTCAGTTATTAAGAACATCGAAGAAGGTTCTTCCCGTAAATCATCCACAAAAGATATGTTACATAGTTTCTAAGTAATACAAAATTAAATCAAAACCTTTACATGCTTAATTGACTTAAACTTATTAAGACAAAATTAATTACAGGTTTTAAGTCAATTATTAGTTACATTTTAACAGTTAATTCATGTGTTATGTTAGTAAATGTAGGTTATTTTCCCGTAAGGTGTAATGGAAAAAATTAACTGTTTCTTGTATGTATATCCATAAAACATTAGGAGTCGTACCTGTGCTACGCAAAGGGATAAGGATTGACAACTCTTTTTACATTTTTAGCGAATTTCCCATATAGCGAATAAGCTATTACCGTAGTACTCATGGTAAGACCTGGACCCGGGACCGATTTACTTTTTCATTTTGATGTCCCCAGAGGCCAAACACACCATTCGTTCAAATTTTTATATATGTATATATATATATATATATATATTGTATATATGTGTGTCAAACTTTAGAATGAGTTCACGAACCAGCATGATCGAACCATGGGAACTGGGTTTTACGGGGGGGGGTTTATGGGGTAAAAATCGGGTTTTCTCATTTTTTCCCTATTTCTCTCTAGACCTTTTTAAAGAGCTTAAAAAACAAATCATTTTGTATATAAAGGAATTTTTGTACGATTATTGGTAACAGAGAAAATTCAAAACATTGTCAATTTAAAATTCCCATCTTATTCTTATGGAGAATATTGTAAAATGATGTAGTTTGCTTGTTTATGAACATATTTTAATCAAATTTGGAAAATACATTAATTTCTTACTAAACCATAGTACCTTTTTATATTTTACATTTAAAAAAAAACTGTTTACCCTCCCTGTTGCAGCAAACCTACGTACTCATTAAACTAATTCTGTTTAAATAGGGAATAAATGTTATATTTTTAAGGAGACATTTTAGTTAAAGGATGGAAATTCGCTAAGTCTGCAGGTTTGCTGCGGCGGGAATATTTGTTATAAGAGAAAGTTCTTCAAACCTTTTTAGCAAATTTCCCATAAGCTATGGTAAACCTAAGTACTCGTTAAACATTATGACATTTAAATAAAGAATAAATCTATCATGCTTAGGGAAATATTTGAGTGTAGGGATATATTTGAGTGCAATACCAATCAGAGAAATCTAAATTTGCTAACTCTGCAGGTTCGCTGCTGTGGGAGTATTTTTTCCGATGATGTTCTATAAAAAATGTTTTACCTATCAAAATCTAGTAGAAACATTTCCAAAAATTATGTTAAAAATCTGTAAAGTAAATTTATGTTAACCAAATAATGATTTATCATATGGGACTACTCAATGTTTGGGTTGAAGGGAAGACACATTGCCTTCTGTATACAGGGGATACATAGACATATTGCTGGGTTAATTATGTGCCAACATCACCACTGCCTTGATTTGATTTGACCTCACCCAACTACAAGGGATGACTATTGGCTATTTGTGTAACAAGTCAAACAAGCTTTGATCATCAATCAGGATTTCATTCAATCAACATTTATTACAAATTTCTTTGACAATTATTTAT